TATACTTCCTAGAAACCAGGATGTATTGCTTTTGCTACAAATTCACAATCATTACTTGGGTCGAAATCGTGCTTCCGCGATAAGGGAATTGGAGCGAATCGAAATGAAGACGCGGACAGCACAAGTATACTACTGAAAGACACAATCTGAACAGTAGGTGGGTGATGGTCCCAGCACTTGGGGTTACTTGCGAGGCTCCCCGGCCTTGTATTCAGTGGTGCTCAGAAAGGGGAAGTTGTACGGCAAATCGATGCTCCAACATCCACCAAGCTACCTTCACTGGACCTTCATCGCACATGCTACGCGTGCGGATGCAGCAGAGGAGTCCTCGTTTTGTAGTGACACTTCCCAATCATTTCATATAGTCTTCCAACCACGCCACACACCATAATAGACTTATGACAGACCGGAACACACATGGAGAATTCGACATAGTCTTCCAGGCACTCAACATACCATAGACTATGCCGTCCAGCTGCAAAACAACAGATGAAAAATCAGGGGGGGAAAAAACTTCAAGATAGAACCGAGATGGGGCCGTTGACGGGTAAACGGGTGTGTGATGTGACAATTGTGAATAGCAGCGGACGAAACTGATTCAGAGAAAAGAGAAAAAAAGAAAAAGAGAAAAAACGAAACTGATCATTAAGAGGTGTCAAGAAAATACTCAGCAGGGAAGATCCGTTTAGAACAAACATACAACACCCAAATTCCCGCGCCAGCTTTGTAAATACATAATCTCTGTCTTTCACATTTCAGAAATAGAAATAAATGCACATATCAGCAGCATCCACTCCACCAGCAGACTGTTGATGGAACGTCCGCATGCCAGGGATGTCCAGTCGTCTACCAAAAAATCTCCTTCTCCGCCTTGCCTTGCCCGATATTTGCATTTCCCCAACTCACCACATAAGTACTACACTGCATATCCCGTGCCAAGAGCAAGGCTTCTCATCACATACTCTATAGCCCCCCCTCCCCACCCTCCTCTCTCTCTCTGTCTGTCTCTCTGTCTGTCTGTCTGTCTCTCTCTCTCTCTCTCTCCCTCTCTCTCTCTCTCTCCCTCTCTCTCGCTCCCTCTCTCTCTCTCTCTCTCTCCATCTCTCTCTCTCTCAATCTCTCCCTCCCTCTCCCTCGCTCTCTCTCTCTCTCTCTCTCTCACACACACACACACACACACACTCTCTCTCTCTCTCTCACACACACACACACACACACTCTCTCTCTCTCTCTCGCTCTCGCTCCCTCCCTCTCTCTCTCTCTCTCTCTCCCCATGTGTGTCTGTCTCTCTCTCTCTCACTATCTCTCTCACACCCTCACTCTCTCTCTCTCTCTCTCTCTCTCTCTCTCTCTCTCTCACACACACACACACACACACACTCTCACGCCCTCGCAAAGCTGATCGATGCCTACTTTTCCTCACCGATAGCAGGACACCATCTGCAGCTGCTGACAGAACCTGCACAATCCTACTAGTCTCTCTCTCTCCCTGTCTGTCTGTCTGTCTCTCTCTCTCTC